CCAACCCCCGGCGGAACCAATCGGCGTCGGCAACGCCCGGGCTGTCGCGCTGCTCTCTCATTGGCCGAGCAGCGAGGGCGGCAGGGGCCTCCCCTCGCTTTCCCCGCCCCCGAGGGCTGGAGCTCTTGATGATTGGGCGGCGCCTTTGCCCTCGTGGCCACTGATTGGCTGCTGGCGGGGCTGCCCTCCTGAGGGAGTTCGAACGAGGCGGGAAGCGGCGGCGGGAGCCATAGCAGCGGCGGCGGGGGGGGTCGGGTTCGGCACCGGCACCGGCACCGGCCTCGGTCACCAGCCTCGGTCTGCGGCACTAGAGCGGGAGGAGCGGCCCCAGTGCCTCCGGTAACGGCGCGGGAGGCCGGGGCTGCGCTGGACCTCCTGTGGGAGCCGGCTTCCCCTCAGCTGCGGGCTCGGCCTTCCCGCCTCCAGCAAGGCCCGTCTTCCCCGGGCCCTGCCTTTCTCGCTCCTTCCCTTACCGGCTTTCCTCCGCCACCATGTCGGTCAATCCCATGGCCTACGAAGCGCAGTTCTTTGGCTTCACCCCCCAGACGTGCATGTTGCGCATCTACATCGCGTTCCAGGACTACCTCTTTGAAATGATGCTGGTGGTTGAGAGCGTAATCCTGAAGAAGCTGGACGGGTTTCCCGGCTGTAAAATCAGCCCCTTCCAAATCCGGAAAAGCACGGAGAAATTTCTTCTCTTCATGAAGCAGCACTTTGATAAACTCTTCAGTAAAATGGAAGAAATGCTTCTGCAGCTGGTGTTAAACATCCCTAAGAACGTGCTCCTTCCCGAGGATAAGGTCCACGAGCAGTACCCCTACAGCAAAGCACAGTTCCAGGCGCTTCAGGATGAGATCCATCAGCTGCAGCAACAGTACAGGGCTGAGGCGTCTGCTGGGCAGGCACTGCGTGCAGAACTGGAAGAACAGAAGGCTGTTCAGGCTGAGCTTGAGAAGATTTTGCAATGGTTTGATGGGCTTGAGAATATCTGTAGGGAGCACGGGACTGGCAACTTGGAAGAAAGCTTTGCTTTCTTGACACAGAACTCTAAGAAACTGCAAGATGTGCTGAAAGACGTTGAAGAGAAAAGCAAAAAATTAAAGCAACATGATCAGTTATTGTAATGGAAATTCTGAAAAGGCAACAAAAATCATTTAGACAGCTTGCTTAAAATGATAGGGGCTTATCTTTCCGGAAGCACTTTCCTTAATCCCTTACTCCTCTAGTCCTGCCAGGATCTAGACTAAAAGCTGTTGAACTGTGTCAGTTTGCACCTATTTAGCACCTCCCTAGGGAAGCAGGGGGAGAAAAAAGTCTGTAAAATGTAGCTCTCATTGGGAATAAATATTGGGTTAGATAACCTGGCTGCAAAGGTGCCTTCCTGACTTTATGAATGCTAACTTCGAACACAACATAGTGCTCGTTTATTTTAAGGATTATTAAAAAAAAAAAAAGCCCAAGTAAGACCTGTAAGGATATGTAAGTGCGTTTCCAGCCTGATACCAGTTTAGGTAACAGAGTAGATGTTTCTGTCTTTGAGGACCTTGGGATTTGTACCAATTTCCCGCAGGAGCCGTATTGCACAAGCAGTGAGTGTCTGGTTAAGGCTGAGATGCCGTTCACTGTGTTTTAAAAGCCAACAGCTAGGAAGTGAACAGAGAAGAGTGGGACAGTGACACTGTTGTCAAGGTTCTGATGAGAAATAGATCTATTTGCATCAATACTGAGTTTCAACCCAATTTCTGAAGTTTCAGGGTTACTTACCACTCCACATGAGTTTGGAAAGAGGTAGCTTGTGTTTTCTTTAAGCAAGGACAGTGTGCTGCTCCACAGACCAAAGATACAGAAGCCACTGGAGGAAATGAGCAACTCGATCACCTTGTCCTACTTTAGCTTAAGTTGCTTTACACGTATATTTTGTTTATTTGGCTGTTTTTATTTTTGTTGTCCAGGGTCCTTTTTCTACTAAATAGCAAAGGTCATTTTATTCATGTTTAATCCGATTTTCCTGTAAAAATGTTGTGAAGACTGACTGCTATGCTTGAGTTCCTTGAAGTGACTTAATTAAGCTTATTCTATCTGTACTTGATTCATAATACATTACAGTCTCTGTGCATCTTTCTGTTGGCCTCAGCAGGTTTTGAATCTCCTGTACAGTCGTATCATGAAATATCAATACTAATTTCTACTTTACTAGCATAGCTGTTTGAAAGACATTAAACTTGTGAATAATTTAGTAGTTACTGCAATAAAAAAATGTATTAAAAGCATAAAATACCCTTTGCAATTCTTTCTTCCCCGACTTCTGAAGACTTCATACAGAATCAGCTTGGTAGAACCAGTGTCTTTAAACATACATTGCCTTGATATGTGGCTGGAGACCTGTGAGACTTGGTGGCCGCTCTTGAAATCTTCACAAAGGAAGTTAATTTCTGATGTCGAGCTCGGGACTTCCGTAGAGAATGTTAGCCTGTGTGGAGGCTGGAGTTCAGAAGAGGAAAAACTAGGACATCAGGTAAAAATTAAGTTGCTTGTTTAGGAAACAACTTAGGGACTTAAAAGTTATCTAATATTCTCAAAGTTTGAAGAGTAGAAAAATGTCATTCATACAAGGTCCACTGTAGAAAATCTTGCTGAAAAAGTCTGTCTTCGTTTTATACCATTACTGTCAGTTTTGTTGCAGAAATCAAGCAGCCACTAGTCTGTAAATTGAATGCAAATATGTACATACTGTTTCATTTAATGCTAAACTGTAAAGAAGAACATTTGAAAAATCTACTACAAAACAAAGGTGATAACTTGAGCCCAAAGAAACATTTCCACAAGAGAAGAACTACAAGCAAGAATTTGACAAAGGGGGATAAAACAATCCGTTGCTGCCTGTTCTTCAGGGCACAGTTGAGCGCAACTGCTGTCCAAATCCCGTAATGTCATGATACATTCATTAACATCCTCAAAATTATTGCTATCTTGTATTAGAAATAAAGAGGAAGGAAAAGTGGTGTGCAAGATAGTACTGATGTATCTGAAACCTTTTACCTTCTGTCTGCAATCTGAAGAAAGGCATTGCTGCACACGGAGGGGGAATGTCCCGACGGTGAAGGGCGTCACATGTATTCATGCAACGTTTCAGCACCTGCACAGTTCGGGCCTGCATCGCTGTGAAATGCTTTGGTATGTAGGCACTGGTGGACTAAAGGGTGACCTGACTTCTCTTGTTGAATTAGATCTTTTAAGGTACTTATTTCTGAAAAAGGGGTGGGGTTTTTTTTTGCTGTATGAATAAATCATTAATATGAACACATAAGACAGCCATTTACAGCTAATAGAGGTTCTCAAGAGGAGATTTATTACACTGACCTCTTTAGGCTTCTCTTCAGCCGCGATTAAATGCTGGTGGTCTGATGACAAAACCATTTAGTTGAAATATGGAGAAGAGCAGATCTGTGAAGAAAAAAAATGAACTTTGCCATGACCCCTCTGGAGATACCAGCTTCTGAAATTCAACTGCTATTAAAATCCTGTAACCTAATTTCTCGTCTTCATTTTTGTTCATGAAATCACTTTTAAGAATAAAAGTCTTGAACTGCAGGGGTGGTGGGTGGGATACATGGAGAAGGGTGTTGCCAAATATAATTTTCCAAAGAGTAATGAAAAGTCTCACCAGGAGATCCAGCATATTTCAGTAACACATGTGGTAGCGGTATATTGAAGAACAACTGTTTTGTGAGAGGGAATAATGCTATTTTTTTTTTAAACGCTTACCTATGAAATTCAAATAAGCATTAAAAGTCCTTTTTTAAGAACATTTTCAATAAAACAGAGAATGAAATGGGTATCCACAGAAGTTTTAGTGGAGGGAGGGTAATACTCATGGGAGCTCACCTCACCTAATGCCAGTGTTATGGTATGAAACTGAAAATACTGTCACAGTGCAAAATTAGCTCCAAGGAAGCAAAATCATTGAGTCCCATCACTGGGCAGGAGCCCGCCTGGAGCTGCCCGGGCACTGAGATGCCACCACAGCCGGGCTGGGCTGCCGGCCAGAGACTCTTTGGCAGCAGAGGGCACCAGGAGGCTGGCCCAAGGCTTCGCTTCCAGAAGAGGCTGGGTTATCCTCAGATAAATCACTAGTTTTACCCTTAATGAGTAGGAGACACTTTTCTTTGGGCATTGCATGTCATGCACGCATTTGCAGAAAGCTGGATCAGGATGTACCGAGTTTACACACACCAATGCTATGTTTTCCTTTAAAGAAGAATTATTCTTATTTTCACTCATTTTCCCTCAGACCTCTGCACTTTCCCCTCTCCCGACCAGGCAGCTTGCACAGTGCCAAGGTCTTCTCCAGCGCATCCTTCACGACTGGAGCTGTGGGCGAGCAGGGAGTGCCGATACTGGACGTGATGGTTGTACTGGGATTTGCCTGGACGTTGCAATTGCTACACGATGCTTGTGTTGTGATTTCAGTGTATTGCTGTAACACGCTGCTAAAGCAAAATCCCCCGTATGATCAAATAGGTAAATATGTCGAATGAGTAAATCTGATATTAAACATTCCACCCTCCTGGTGCGGATATCAAGCAGACCCACTCACGGAGCGCTGGGCTCTGGCAAGGCTGTACCCACACCGGCCTCACGCCCTCCTGCAAACACCCCTTCTTACCTGCTTCCCAAAATGACGTCCTGTCACATGCACTCCCATCAGTCGAGCCATCATAATGAAATACTTAAAAAATTATTTCCTGATACTCTGGAGAACAGTGCAGGAAACACCTTTGGCCAGCACCCCCAAACCTCGGGCAACGAGCCTGGGAGCCACCGCCACACTTTGCCAAAACTCGTTAGGCAGCTGCCTGCAGATGCCCCGCTCTGCTCCGGGCTGCCGCTGCCCGAATCCCTAATTACCAGGGAAGCTCCCAGAGCCTGGGCCATCCCCCCGGAT